GAAAATGTGTACATACGCCCAGCAAGTTTACATAACATTAGTGAATGAATCTATTCCTTAGTCCTTCTCTCTGCAAACACTCACACCCCTGGAACACAGGGGGTTGGCAGAGAAGCAGAGAGAGGAAACAGCAGAAACCTACCGCCAGCACATCACTGTAACAGTGCCAAATTCAAGAGACTTTTTTCTCTTGCTTTATTCTCTGCATGTGCTATGCAAGTCTCAGCCAGACCCTAGTTTGATGTCTGAGAAGTCTGAGACAGTATACAATAAGATTGTCCACTTGCTCTATTATTGTTTATCAGTCGAACATCTGTCCTGCAACTTTGGGACCATGGAAGATTTTCCTGGAAACACACTCGGGAAGGCCTCACTGGAGCATGCTTCCATACTCACTTCCTCTGTGCTTGTGCGCTCTCTCTCTGTCTTGCACACTTTCCTTTTACTTACTCATGTGCACCATCCATGACTACCCACCCACACAACCACAAAAGCAGAAGCAGCTGCAACAGACGTACGCACATAACAATAGGGTAGCAGTGACTTGTATACCAAAATGGAAATTATTAGGCAAATACGTCAGCTATTAAGAAGTTACAAAATAGTGGTGTTAGAACCACTGGGTACAAGTATCTGCTGAATCTCCAAAATTCACATCTGATTCATTCAGACTGGAACAGGTGAAGAGAAGACCTACTATGGTGATCTGAGGAATGGAAAACCTACCTTACTAGAGGAGACTCAAACAACGTGGCTTGTTTAGCTAAACCAAATGAAGGCTGGGGGGAGATATGATCGCTCTCCATAAATACATCAGAGGGATAAATACCAGGGAGGAAGAGGAATTATTTAAGTTAAGCGCCAATGTGGACACAAGAACAAATGGATATAAACTGGCCATCAACAAATGTAGGCTCAAAATTAAGCGAAGGTTTCTAACCATCAGAGGAGTGAAGTTCTGGAACAGCCTTCCAAGGGGAGCAGTGGGAGCAAAAAGCCTAACTGGCTTCAAGACTGAGCCTGATAAGTTTATGGAACGGATGGTATCATGAGACTGCCTATAATGGCATGAGGCCCATATGCGGCTGCTAGTAGCAAATATCTCCAACGGCTGGTGATGGGACACTAGATGGGGAGGGCTCTCAGTTATTACAGAGAATTCTTTCCCAGGTGTCTGGCTGGTGGGTCTTGCCCACATGCTCAGGGTCCAACAGATTACCATATTTGGGGGCGGGAAGGAATTTTCACTGGAGTCAGATCTGCAGAGACTCTGAGGGTTTTTTTGCCTTCTTCTGCAGCATGGGGCACGGGTCACTTGCAGGTTTAAACTAGTGTAAATGGAGAATTATCTCTAACTTAAAGACTTTGAACCATGATTTGAGGAGTTCAGAAACTCAGAGTTTGGGGGGTCTATTACAGGAGTGGGTGGGTGAGGTTCTGTGGCTTGAAATGTGAAGGAGGTCAGACTAGATTAGATGATCACGATCGTCCCTTCTGACCTTAAAGTAGTTCTGCCTTTACTTTTAGTGGCAAAGAAGGTCATTATTCAGTGTTCTTTGTGATTTCATAGTCTCCCTGAAAATTATGCTATTAGGCCGCAATTTCCTGCAAACACTTACGCATGTGCCTAACTTTACTACTCATTGGGATAAGTCATGGTTGTAAAGCTAAGCATGTGTGTAACCTTTACACGGTCAGGGCCTAGATGGAGGATATTGCTCATTTTGTTTCTAAACCTGAAGTTTCAAAATCTTCCATTATCTCTATCAGTAACAACTTAGCAGGTCTGCCTATGAACTTCAGTAAGTTGGATGGGCGGTATATCTCCCTGTGCTGAGGGTCTTTGGTCCCCAGGTTAATTTTGTAAGTGGGATAGGATACCTTTTCCCATGTGATCACATGACAGTGTAGCTAACATGCTATTGGCTGTGCCAGATTCGGTTTTCCTTTTGCTCATTTAGAACCCAATTCTGCAATGTAAGGTGATGTGCGCTTTCTGGGAGATTCCTGAACTCCCAGTGAAGCTAAGGTGAGTTGAGTTCACTCATCATGTAACAGTATTGTCCTCGGAGCTCTTTATTATATTTGCTTTATTTTCTATTTCTTGTAAACCCTGAACTGGATTGATTTTCTGATTCTTATTTGTATCCCGTTTTTAGTAAAATGTTAATAAAACAATCTTTATTTTAAATATACATCTGTTAAAACAAGATAAAGCATTATCAAGTATGCTTACAATATGCTGAATCTTTTTTTTTTTTTTGCTTCAGTCCATTCAGACACAAAATAATGTGCTACATTTTTAGATGAAGGAGTTTTGCTCATCTCTCACATTCGTTATGTTGTTTAGACTATTTTTAAGTTTAAACACACGAATCAGTTTTTAATTATAAATAGCATTTAGGTAAAAGTGTGCAAAAATAAAATATTAAAAGATTTTCTCTCATGTTATTATTATTATTATAGTATTTAGGTAAAAGATATATTAAAACATTTCCTGCTAGTTCTAGTATTAAGGTAAAAAGTATATAAAATCAGGTGTCTTTAAATAAAATTCAACCTTAAATACTGATCCTCCAAATGATTCGGTATATTAGTAACTTTCTGCAAATGAGTTGTCTCAATGAATTCAATGAGATGACTCACATGAGTAAAGTTACTCACATCCCCAAAAATTTGCATGATCAAGGCCTCAATGAGTTGTTAAATATCAAATCAAAGATAGCATGTACACACTGGCTCTATGTAGCCTAAAGTAACATCTATGAAAGAAAGTGCAGCAACCATCCAAGAGCAAAAGGAAAGCAAATAACATGCTTGGGCAAAACAAGAGCGCTAGTTATACAACATCAAGAAATAAATGTGACAGAGCAATCCCGCAGTATGGGCTTGATCCAAAGACTATTGAAGTCAATGGAAAGAATCCCATTGATTTCAATGGGCTTTGGATCAGGCCTTAAGTGACAGAATTTCTTTTCAGTATTATGGGATAATCCAGATCATTGATCTGGAGTGGGAAGAACTTCTTATGAAAAACATTTAAAATATTCTCTCAAGGGAAGAAAAAACTTCCTCACTAGAGTGGCTGGTCGTTGAGAGAACAGTCTTGTTTTGAGGATGTGCTTTGCCAGGAGGTCTAAATCCAGATCCAAGTCTGAGAGAGAATACTTGCTGCAAAAACAAACAAACAAACAAAAAGTAAAAGCTCACAAAGTTCCTTCCATAAATTGTGCTTCAAAATATCTCTTCTGTATGGGCTTAGTCCTGCTAAGTGCTGAGCACTCTGGCCCTGATCCAGTAAAGCACTCAAGTACATGCTTAACTTTAAGCATGTTACGAGTCCCCGTGGTTTCAGTGACCCTTCCACCCTGCTTAATGTCGAGCATGTGCTCCAGTGTTTTGCTGAATCAGGGCCAGCGTGATTAGCACCTTGCAGGGTCAGGCACTACCTGCTGATTGGTCTTTATCAGTGGTTCTCAAACTTTTGTACTGGTGACCCCTTTCACATAGCAAGCCTCTGAGTGTGACCCCCCCCTTATAAATTAAAAATACTTTTTATATATTTAACACCATTATAAATGCTGGATGTAAAGTGGAGTTTGGGGTGTAGGCTGACAGCTTGCGACCCCCCATGTAATAACCTCGTGACCCCCCCGAGGGATCCCGACCCCCAGTTTGAGAACCCCTGGTCTTTATGAAGGAGGCAGTCACCGAGTCTTTCATTTTCCCCAGCAAGGGAACTTACCCAGCAAATATTACTCACTCGAGTAGTCCCATCAGTGTCAATGAGATTATTTACGTGAGTAAGGACTACTTATCCATGAAAGAGTTTGCAGGATTGGGCTCTAAATTTCAAACATACTAGTAGATAGCTTTATCAATAGGAGATCACTCCGTTTAATGGTGTGAAAAAAGTGTATTTTGAGACGTTGTAAAAAGTTTAAGGATATTCTACAGCAGTGGATTCTTTGCAGTTGTTGTAATAACTGGCAGTATAACCGAGAGCTTTCTCTGATTGAACTAGTGCCATATGCCGATAATTCAACTGCAAAAAAATTTAGCCTTAACCTCATGTCTTTCAGTAAAGGGTTTTTGTTTTTTTTTAAATTATGTCTTGTTCACAGAGTTCAGAGTTTAAAATTGTCTAACAGAAATTTCTTGGTGTGCAAAACCAGCAGTTGTGACGACGCTGCCTGTGAGTATCTGCATCATGGAATGCATTCATTGTATGATAAATTCTTGGAAGCCAATTTTGCAGAGAAATGTTCTGGGAAACCAGAAAATGAGGCAAGTCTTGTCCAGAGATTGTGAGAAATCTGTGTTCCTCCTGTAAGCATTTTCTAGTGTATGCATAGCTGATTTTCAGCATCTTACACCTGAATGGATATAATTGAGGTTCCTTTGGTGTATCCATCATAAAGCCCATGATGAGAAGTTTCATACCTGGGATGTAAAAAACCCTAAAGCCCCAAACCAGTACTCCATGGGTACTCAGTGCATTTCAGGATTGGATCTTAATGCAAGACTGAAACATGGCATACAAGTTCTCAACCCCAATGGTAATGTACGTGGTTCTTAAAGGGAGAGGCTGAGAGGATAATAGAAACCAGAGGATGAACTGGAGGGTAAGAGATGGAATTCTCCAGTCTTCTTTTGCCACATCCACATTCCCAAATGGCTGAGTAAGGCTTCAGAAGTGGCTGTCTTAAAGGATGGCTTCTACTCAGGTTCCATTCACACTTAAATAGCCTATTTTAACTTCTCCCAGCAGGTTCCAAACTCAGAATGCGAGTTTGGCCGGTCAAGTTGAGATCACTTGAGTGTGTGAGAACTACAGAAACAGAGTAAAAGGACCAGAGATAGTTGGGGGACACAGAAACATTGTCGTGTCTGAGGACACTGAACGTTAGAAACCACTTTGCTGACTAAACTAGTTTTCAACTTCTTTGGATCAGAGACAGGCCATTACTTAGAAGAAACCCTGAAAGTAAACTGTTGTATCACCTCTTAACAGATGGTATGTTGCTCCACAAGATCACAGCATTCTGGACAGTTTCTGCATGTTCCCTGTGGATAGTCACTGCCTCCATCTTTTAAAAGGGAAAAATATGCAAGTGTCTTAGTAGACAGACAACTTCTGCCAACTGTTAATACTATATTGCATGGTGGTCACCAAGAACGTTTAAGAACAGCTTCTACTGATTCATGACATGCTTAGCTGGTTTTCTCTTATGATTGTAGCCCTCCTTTGGGGTAAATTGGGCAAGCCTCCCTCATGTTTGAGAGCACAATAGCTGATCAGAATTTTCCAGATTTTGAAATTTAAACATCATTTCAAATTTTGAAAATTCAAAAATAAAAAATGGAATTTTTTGCTAAATCTTTTGTTAAAAATGTTCCCCATTTTATTATGAACAGGTCAACACTTGCTTCCATATTTCTAACACTATAGAGCAGATCAACTCCTTTTGAATTATAAAAGAGAGGGGTTTTTTTTGTAAATTTACATTTTTTTTTAACCTGCTTTAGTGAGCACTTACTCCTACGAGCAGCCCCATTGACTTCACCAGGTAAGGGTTGCACAAACAATTTCTTACTGTATGAAGAGCATTACTAGTACCTCTAGAGGGAAACCAACTGATCTAAATATTGGTCATTACAGCACAGAGAAAGGGGACAGAATTGTGTATCTTCAAGAACGCATACTTTAAAGGATTAATTCCTCAAAATGTATGGTGTGAAATCAGTTGGAAGCTGCTTGATGTTTAATGTTGATCTAACAATTAATGCTAATAGTAGTTTCCTTCAAAACTAATCTTTCAGTTCTCTCCAGAAAATACACCTATTGCACGAACCCTTTCATTTATCATTTTATTGGGCATTGCTGCCACTTTGGACTTGCACCTTCCCCATGTGCGACAAGTGTACTGTATGTTCTGCTTCCTGATTTTGCAAAGGACCTGAGCACCTGCAACTTCCACTGAAGTCAACGGGAACTCAGGGTGTTCATCCACTCAGCAAATCAAGACCTAAACTCATTGGGGATGGGACAATGCCTTACTATTAGGTACATATTATGCTAAGCACATTGTTGCTAGTCAGTAAATAACACTGTAATAGTAATGTCTCTCTCATCAGACATTGGTCATGCTTCTTGTCCTGGACAGGTGGCAGTGCTACTTCTTTTTGGTGTATGCGCAATGTGCCTCAGGTGTCATGTGACCAGGGTTCATCACCGAATTTGGGCCGCTGGTTGGGTTATTAGCTTCTCCGTTCTGGGCTGGGTACTGACGGCGAGCATGACGTGAACACTGATCCATGCCCCCTTAATATTGGATATTAGAGCTGTTACTAGTTTTCAAGGACTGTTGTCAGGATCAGTTATTGTTTGTAAAAGCTCTGAGATCCTCAGATGACAAGTGTTGTATCCTGACAAGGGTAAAGCATTTTGATTAACATCTGACTAATGGCTTTACTGGTGATTTCCTGGTCCACATGTGAGTTATAATGCAGCAAAACCAGAGAGAATGACTGGATTAATGCACAAATACTGTGTGTATACTCCCTTGGAAGTCCATTAGCACTGGTCCTTAACAGAGAACTCCACATCAAACTTCCTGCAAACTTTTGGGAAGTTCAGCTCTGGATCCAAATTGAATGATGTAGGCTTAATCTCTAGAGATGGATCTAAATCAGAACCCAGGCTCTTCATTCCCTCCCCATCTCTCTTCCCCCACCTCAAACTTTGGGGAGATTCAGATCCAGATCCAGATCCAAACGTTATGATGTGAGTTTTCACTATTCCTTAATCAAAAGGAGTGAGGTTCATTTTGACCAGAGGAACTCTGCTTCCTCCTCCCTGTTGTACACCAACAGCTCAGGAAGCGAGAGCTTAAAGAAGCAGGAATCAGTTCTGGTTCTGTTGTATGGCACTGCAGAGAACACCATTCCCAAAAGACACAATAAACATCACTATAAAAGGACCCAGTCACTAAACACTAAGGAGACATGGTGTGAAGAAAAAACAAGCTGGGGAGGGACTGGATTTTCTGTGTACCTTAAAGAATCGCGAAGCTGTGTCTCTGTCTTCTTTTTCCAGCACCAGATTATCCACAAACATCCAGAAGAATGGCCTCTGACTGCTCTCTGGGGGTTTCCCGTATTGTAGGATGCGGTGATATTGATAGAAGTACCAAGCTAGGGGCAAAAGGGATGAGGAGAAAGGAAAGGGAAGAGTGACATCAAAAATGAAAGGACCAAATAGCAGAGACATGGCTCTCATCCTGTCCTGCTCTGACTGTGGGACAGTGCAGCTTTCAAAAAGAGAGGCTAAGAGCCTCTCTATCACTATAGCAAAAAGAGCAGTGGAGGAAATTTGAAATGAGACCAGCGAGGTTACTTTTTAACATGGATAAAGTTTTCCATAACTTCAGTTTGAGGAGTCACCATTTCTCCTCTTCATAATGTGCAGCATGTAAGCAGAGGGACAGATAACAACACTAGAGGTCCGCTTCAGACCAGGTGCAACTCCATTGGCTTGAATAAGCACTTGCTTCTCCTAGGTCTGAATTGGACCCTGGATCCTCATGGCTCAGAGGCAAATTTGAGTTGGAAATGAGTGATGTGCCTTGTAGTCACCAAGGGCCAGGCTCTGCACATTGCATGGAGGCCCTAGTAAGGGGCAGTGCAGAGCTGCCCAGCCTGAGAGGGAGCACTGCGGGGCATTTAGCCCCAGGAAAGGAGCATGCCTCCTGAAGCTCCATAGGGTGCAGGGGGATTGTGGACACTAATGCACCTCCTTCATGGGGTGCCACATAATGATAGACTCAAGGTCAGAAGGGACCATTGTGATCATCTAATTCCCTTCCTATGAAGCCAGTAACCACAACTGGACAATGTGTAGGGGGACAGAGCTGCTCCTCGCTCTGTTTGGAGCACCAGGAGCTCTCTGGGGGGGTAGAGATGGCCCAGCCCTGTGCTTTCTGGAATTTCTGCCCAGCCCTTGCGTGGGCTGTACGGGCCCTTACAGAGGGGGAGGCTCCTCACTGCACCCTCTACCACGACATGCCTGCATAAGGACCAGACTGAATGTGACCCCTACAGTTGAGATTGTATGGTCACAGGAGGGGAGTCTCCAAGGAAATGTCTCTCCTTTCATAGGTGATGAGATACAGCAGATTTAATACAGTTTAATGAAACTCTCAAATGTCGGGAGAGTTCTATGGCCTGTGTTATCCTGGAGGTCAGACTAGATGATCACAATGATCCTTTCTGCTGTAGCAGAACAAAGGGGCTGTAATCTCCAGCTGACAGATAGCCAGCAAAGTTCACTTTAACCTGCTCCTCCCAAGGCCTGCTGGATAGGGCACGTGTCAGAGGATGGAGGGCTGAGGTCAGATTGCACGATGTTGGTGAAATCCCACACTGCCATAGCAGTGGCTTGATGGCTGGTACAAGCCTGTGTAATTCAAAGCAATCTTGAGACTGCTGTAAATTACACAGGGTGCCAAACTGGATCTCAGCATTCCTGGGAATCAGGGGAATAGAGAAATGTTTTACAGCCACCTTTTGCCTCGCCCCCCGTCTCCTCAGTACCATGAGGAGCTCTAGTACAGGTAAAGATCTAACTCTGTCAGACTGATAATTTATATATCATTTTATACTTCACTGCACCTCTTACCTGGAGGGTGTTCGTAGGAATTTCCAACTGGAGGAGTGGAACCAAATATGAAATCAAAAGGACCCCATCCTTTTACCTAATAAGATGTACAAGTTTCAGAACTTCTTGTTTCTTTTAGAAACATTTATTCATATTCTTATTATGATGGCTATTAAAATGTAAGCATTGTCTACAGGCACTCAGACAGTACGGTGATGGGTGTGGTATAAGAACCTGAATAGAACAGGACCTGAGATGAGCTGTGGCTCATCTGAAGAGTTCTTTCCCACCTAGATAGCCCAAGGCAGGCCTCTCTGAGGACATCATAAGGAGTCATTCCCAATCACAGAGAATTCGGCGTTGTTCTCTTATTAAGGCCTGGAGAGCTTGTATTTAATGCTTAAGTTAGCATTTAGTCATTACATAGCTCAAACACAACATAAAACTGGAACTTGGTGTTGAGTGCAGTCTGCAGTCCAGAACCCCAACTTCCAAGATGGAGTCTGACCTTTGGTCTCCGCGGCCACACCCAGCACTCTTACATAACAATAGCAGTTTTTCCACACAGATTCATCCTTGTACTAAAGACGGAAAAAGGAATTATAATTGATCATTACCAACCAGTCAGGAATGCTGTGAAACCTGATTATGGAAGGCCAAATTTTCAAAATGTAACCTGTATTTGTGCACAGGAAATTTTGCACTCAGGTCGCTTGCATGTGGGGTCATCACTTGTGCATGCAGCTAATAGAAAATACATGCACATGGTTCCAAAGACAATATGTCAACAGACATACTGGTGAGGAAATTGCACATACAAAGGATGAATGTCATCAGCTGCATAAAAATCTCCACCCTTCTTTTAAAGTGGGCATGGAGTTGGCAGAATCTGTCAAAGATTGGCAAGGGAGAACAAGTTGTGCAGACCACCAGACTTTGCAGTACAAGACCACAATATGAAAATAAAACTAAAACAAAAAAAAGGAACTAGGAGTTTAGAAAAGCAACTGGTAGTGTAATGGGTGATCAGGTTTTGAAATACTAAATATGGTTTGGGTTAGGCTATTTATCCATTACTGAAATTCAGGGCCGGCTCCAGCTTTTTTGCCGCCCCAAGCGGCGAAGTGAAAAAAAAAAAAAGCTAAAGCCGATTGGCGGCAGCTTAATCGCACCACTTCCTTATTCGGCGGTAATTCGGCGGAGGGTCCCTCGCTCCCTCTCTTCCTCTTCAGCGGCACTTCGACGGCAGCTCAAAGAGGAAGAGAGGGACTGAGGGACCCGCCGCCGAATTGCCGCCGAAGACCCGGACGTGCCGCCCCTTTCCATTGGCCGCCCCAAGCACCTGCTTCCTTCGCTGGTGCCTGGAGCCGGTGCTGCTGAAATTGCATAATGGCAGTGAGCTTTCAGTGGGCAAATTAGGATGGTTTGAACAGAATTAATTACAGAGTGGCTTGGATTTCTGAAAGATTTCATTCTGAAATTCAGTTGTTGCAAAAGAAAATACTGCTACAATCTCAGGTGGCATATCTCAATTCTTGGAGCAAGGGAGGTTTTTTGTCAGTTTACTGAATCCTTGTAGCATGTACTTGATTAAACCATGTATATACTTGGAGACTCTGCTATTCCATTGCCAAGCTTTTTTCACATTATACAAAATTTGGTAAACAGAGCCAAATTTCCACTCCCCCCCCCCCCGGCCGAGTAAGGAGATTTTCCAGTGGGGACATATGTAGGGCCTTACCAAATTTGTGGTCCATTTTGGTCAATTTCAAGGTCATAGGATTTTAAAAATCACAAATTTCATGATTTCAGCTATTTATATCTGAAATTTTACAGTGTTGGAATTGTAGGGGTCCTGACCCAAAAAGGAGTTGGGGGGGGTCACAAGGTTATTGTAGGAGGGGGTTACAGTACTGCTACCCTTACTTCTGCGCTGCTGCTAGCGGTGGCGCTGCCTTCAGAGCTGGGCAGCCGGAGAGTGGCGGCTGCTGGCCAGGAGCCCAACTCTGAAGGCAGAGTATGGTATGGTATTGCCACCCTTACTTCTGCGCTGCTGCCTGCAGAGCTGGGCCCTCAGTCAGTAGCCGCCACTCTGCGGTCACCCAGCCCTGAAGGCAGCAATGCAGAAGTAAGGGTGGCATGGTATGGTATTGCCACCCTTACTTCTGTGCTGCTGCTGGCGAGGTGCTGCCTTCAGAGCTGAGCGCCTGGCCAACAGCTCCCACTCTCTGGCTGCCCAGTTCTGAAGGCAGCACAGAAATAAAGGTTGGCAATACCGTGACCCCCCTTAAAATAAACTTGTGACCCCCCCTGAAACTCCCTTTTGGGTCAGCACCCCCAATTTGAGAAACGCTGGTCTCCCCCGTGAAATTTGTATATTATAGGGTAAAAGCACACAAAAGACCAGATTTCACGGTGGGAGACCAGATTTCATGGTCTGACACACATTTTTCATGGCCGTGAATTTGGTAGGGCCCTAGACATATGCTTCTATTAGGGGCAATAGAATTATTATTATTTATTCTTTGCATTGTGGTACTGCCCACAGGAACCAATCAGGCCCAGGCCCAGACCCCAGTGTGCTAGGTGCTGTACATACAAGTATATGCGAAGATATGATACCCACCTGAAGGAGCTTACAGTTGAAGGGCCTGATCCAGTGCCCATTGAAGACAATGTAAAAACACCCATTGTCTTCAGTGGGCGTTAGATCAGACCCTAAGAAAAGAGTCTGTAATCTAAGAATCCTCCACTCACACTCCCCAACCTGGATCCAGAGCAGCTCTGCCATCGCTACTGAGGCCTGTGGTAGTGCCTGAAGACCATTATGTGCTCCCTTCGAGACTCAGCTTTTGGCAGTTGGATTATCTTTGTTTGTAGACACACTGTCCACATCCCAGCTTCTCTCCTGCCCCGCTATGAGCCCCCTCCTGTAGAAGCACTGGTGTAATGAGAACTGCTGTTCAGCACAGTCCCAGTTGAGAAGAGAGGGATCCCCTGCTCAGCATCACTTTGACCTGCCTGCCTCCCTCCCCTGGAATGATGAAGATTCTGCTTCAGTTTAGGTCTTGCGTGGCTGCTCCCGGGGTGGCAGCATTCCCCTAGAATTGTCACAGCAATCAGTAATGTAAATTCAGAGCTGTGCACAGTTAATTCAGTGACGTTTTCTACGTTGTACTTACATCTGTCCTCAGAACATTGGTGACATCATCTAAGTATATCAGCCTGCCATCCCCCATGCTGCTGCCCAAAAATCCAAGATTTTTCATCTCTGAAGAGTGGATATTAGAAATACAAACAGTGTTAGTACTAAGAACTAGTTCCCTCATACAGCACCTCACTTCAGCACATACCTAGTTTTAAGCAGGTGACTGGTGGGACCAGTGTTTCAAGTTTAGCACATACTTAAGTACCTTGCTCAGTCAGGGTCCCAGCAAGCAGTGTAGTAACTAAATAATCAGATAGCCCTTGGAGTATAGAACAGTGTTGGATATTTACAGCTTCATAAACTGACAAAGTTGGAGACGTCTAAAAACCAGGATTGTAAACATGAGATCAAGTTATGTAATGCTGCACTGAATGTCCCCACATGGGCTACAAATAGCAGCATTTTAGATACACAACACGGGTATTAGATTGTTCTGAAAATGACACTATTTCTTTTAATGACAAATGTGAACATTTCAACTTTTTTTTCCTACTTTACAGGTTTCAAAATTGATTTTTTTTCCTAAAAGTTTTCATGACATTTTCATATACAAATATTTATCAAAAACCATTGGTATTTGGTAAACAAAGTGATCAAAATGGTTATTGAAATAAGATTTTTTATAATGTTTTGGATAAAAAATTTTTTTAGCAAAACATTAATAGTTTTTTTGCTCAATGGTAATTTAAAAAAAAAAGCCATTTTTTTTACAAAAGAGCTCTGCATTAAACAAATTTTGACCAGCTCTATCGAACAGGATGATGATACCTTTGTGTGGGTCATAATGAATCATGATGGGTAAAATTTAGCCCAAGTGTGGGCCTCATTTGTCCCACTGGACAATGGAGTCACATCAGGGATGAATTTGGCCTGATATATTAATAGATTTTTAATATATTTGTTTGCAGTCCTAAGCCAACTATGTACACTTACCTCTGGTAATATTATCAAAAAGGGAGAGAACATTGATTGGCTTTCGTTCCCATGCGGATAAAGGCTGATAAATCTCAAGATGGTTCTGTCATAAATAAAAAAGACCCTTGTTTGCACAACCCATTCATTTGTGTGAATATTCAAAGCTGTCCATTAATAATAATAAAGCACAGACGCTGGCCTGTTTAGGGAGTCTGGCTTATTGGAACTATCACAGTGTAGGCAGGATACTGTGCAGCCTGGAAAACCCCGGGTCAGGAGGGAGAGAGACGGGGATCTTTGCCTAAGAGAGTTGACATTTGAGGAGCCCGGAGCCTAGAGTGGGAACCGTTGGTGGGCCACGGAGGGGGAATACAGATGTAATTGCCCTGAACTGTGACACTGTCTCTTTTTTAATTAAATGACCCACCCAGCATTGTCAGCAAACACTCCTCTCTTCAGTATCCAGTCAGGATCCCAAAGTCCACAGAAGGGCATAAGGCAACTAATTGCAATTAAAAGCATTTCAGAACCTTGGAGACTCCTGGATTCTGATTAGTATATTAGGAAGTACTGATTTATACATTGCAAATAAATATCTCTTCACAGTATATTGTAATTATTCTGTCACATAAAATGGGTTCCACTTCATTTTCTAACAAATTGTCTGGTACTGAATCATTTGCTGGAAAATTTAAAGCAGGATGCGATCTGAAGTATGTTGTGATAATCTGCCATGTGGCAGATAAAATTTAAACGGGCAGCACCCAATATACCCAGTACAAATTTCTTATCAAACCCTAAATTGATGTGCAGTGTAGAAAAATATGAGTATAGTCTAAGACAGTGGTTCTCAAACTTTTTTTTCTGCAGACGACTTGAAAATTGCTGAGGGTCTCGGTGGACCACTTAATGATTTTTCCAAATGTTGTTTGTACTGTTAGCTAACTATTGTAAAGTGCTTTGGATAAAAGCACTATATAAAAAAACCCTTAATAATAACACTGCTCTACAGCCAAAATGCTTCTGAAATAAATGTAGTCAAACTTTACTAATTCTGGGTCACTGAGAACGAAAATGATGCTTAAAATTGTTGATTGGCTCTAGTTTTCAAGATATGCTATTGAGTCAGTATATACGACCCTTGACTTGGGAATGGCGGAGGATAAGTGAGTTATAAAGGGAAGGGATCTCAATTTAAACCAGAAATGACTAAAATACATCTTTGACTGGATCTATGAATAAATCTATGACTGGGTTTGGACAGTACTTGCTTTTTAGGCAAAACAATGAATGATGCAATCTGAAGCTGGTATTGCATCAGACATGATATTAATTGCATCATGTTATTCCTAGAAGTCATGGATGATGCAATCATAACGAAGCTTACATCACTCTGCTGAACAAATTGCCCTAGATCAGCTCTAGAAATCATACAGTGTCGTGCTCTCTTATTTGTCAGTGTTTGATTTTGCAAAGGGACACATTTCTGTTTAGCCAAAGTGAGCAGAGATGCCTCGTACTTGTGTGAACAGTGCAGGTAACTTCTGCTATGTTTGTGGTGAAGTGACTTTTGCATCACAAAAGCGCAGTATAACCACTATGGTTAAGAAAGCCTATCACTTTTATTTTGGCTGCAAAATTGGAGATCAGGACAAGAGGTGGGCCCCACACATATGCTGCAACACTTGTGCAACAAATCTTTGCCAGTGGTTGAACAGGAAAAGGAAATCTATGCCTTTTGCAGTGCCAATGATTTGGAGAGAGCCAACAGATCATACCAGCAATTGTTACTTCTGCATGGTGCCTCCAGTTGGGAAAGGTGTGTCAAAGAAGAGAAAGTGGACTGTGCATTATCCAAACATTCCATCAGCTATACGCCCAGTACCCCACGGAGAAGGACTGCCGGTTCCTGATGCACCAGAATCATTCTCACTTGAGTCAGACGAGGAAGAGGAAGAGGATGAAACTTCTGGTCCTGAACCATCAATGTCACAGGACCCACATTTTCTCCCATCCTCCTCCTCTGAACCACACCTCATAACACAAGGTGAACTGAATGACCTTGTCAGGGATTTGGAACTACCCAAGAGTAAGGCAGAGCTGTTGGGCTCCAGACTACAGCAGTGGAATCTCCTGGCAGGTGATGTTAGGGTTTCCATGTTCCGTGACCGTCAAAAGGATCTTGTCCCATTCTTCTTCATGGAAGGTGATCTTGTAGCCTGCAACAACATCGATGGTGTGATGGCAGCCCTCAACATCGTTCACGATCCAGATGAGTGGAGACTGTTCATTGATTCATCGAAGACGAGTCTTAAAGCTGTTTTACTACATAATGGCAATGTTTTGCCATCAATTCCAGTTGGTCATGCAGTCCATATGAAGGAAACCTATGACAACATGAAACAACTTTTGAGGTGCATAAACTATGACCAACATCAGTGGCAGCTTTGTGGCGATCTGAAGGTTGTTGCTCTCTTGCTTGGTCTGCAGACTGGATACACAAAGTACTGCTGTTTTCTCTGCGAATGGGACAGTCGTGCAAGAGATTCCCACTACATCAAGAAAGATTGGCCACTCCAACAGTCATTGGAGCCTGGGAGGAAAAGTGTTCAGCATCCACCACTTGTTGAATGAAGGAAGATTTTGTTACCACCCTTACACATCAAGCTGGGTCTGATGAAGAACTTTGTCAAGGCCATTGACAAAACACAAGCAGCTTTCAAGTACCTCCGTGGAAAATTTCCAAGGTTAAGTGAAGCTAAGAGAAAGGAAGGTGTCTTTGTTGGTCCTCAGATTCGTGAACTTCTTCGAGATGATGCATTTGACCATGCACTGCGTGGCAAGGAAAAGACGGCATGGAAAGCCTTTCAGTTAGTGGCAATAAATTTTCTCGGAAACAACAAGGCAGACAACTACAGGTTGTTGGTGGAAAACCTCCTCAAGGCATACAAAAGCCTTGGTTGCAACATGTCACTAAAGATACTTTTTTTGCACTCTCATCTAGATTTTTTTCCACCAAACTGCGGAGCAGTGAGCGACGAGCACGGCGAGCGATTTCACCAGGACATTGCAACAATGGAGAAACGCTATCAGGGCAAATGGAGCCCATCAATGCTTGCAGACTATTGCTGGACAGTGACAAGAGATGCTCCTTTTAATGAATACAAGAGACAAGCCAAGAAGCGCCGAGTAGACACTGAATAGGACTAAACTATGTACATAATAGTTTTTTGCCTTTTGTTTCATAATAAATTTTATTTATATAACCTTTTTGCTGATTTTTAAAGTGTTACATAAACAGGACAGGTGAAATATTATCACGTAAAGCAACCATAAACAGATGAAAAGACCTAGGTTTACAATTTATGATTAAAACTCTACTATCTACACAATATACATAGACCTAAAATGTAAAAACTTAAATATCTTAGAAACAGTAGCCAATCAGTTGTTTTAATTGTCATATTTGAATTCAGCACATCAAAATACATAATAAATAGCACATTTTATCTCTGAAGCAGACGACTTCTCAAAAATTGTAGACCAGTGTAATTAACATTTTTTTTGTTCTACTATAAAAGCGCACAACTCATATTTTAATATCAGTAGCCTTACCTTTCTAATGCGATGGATGTGCCCTCTCTCCCCCACTGCAGCAGCCCCCGAGCTGGGGCTGGGAAGGAGGGGGGTCTCTCCCTGGCAGCTGCAGCTCTGAGCTGGGGAAAGTCGCCTTTCTCTGGCCGCCACAGCCCTGCACATCCCAAATTCCCCCCACCCCCTCGTCTCACCCCACTGCCCCTCCCACCTACCCCGTATTCCCCTTCAAGGCCACCACCTCACCTTACATGTGTGTCTTCTCCAGGGTCCAGGCACCTAAGTAGTGGAGCCATGTCTGCGTGGCTCCATTAATTAGGTGGGTGGCCCTTCATTCTCTCGTGTGTGGCCGCCCAGGCGCGCACCTTAGATGGAACTATCCGCGGACCACCTGAATGGAGCTCACGGACCACTGTTTGAGAACCTCTGGTCTAAGATGTCTGTGGTGATTGTCGACTGCTGCAGAACTCAGTTCTTTCAGTATTTAAGGTGGTAATTAGATACCATGGTGATCGACACCTTATTAAAACCTATGGTAGGAAGATTTCAGATTTTCGTCAGTATTTGTTCCCAAATATTTTTATTTTTGCAAATGACAGCCTCACATCCCTTCTAACAGTACAGCTGATGGGGCTCTGCTTCCACCTGCTGGAGGCAGAACATATCTGACGGGTATGCTGACTGTTTCCTCTTGCAGAGGCGATAGATATCTAAGGTCAGTTTTTTGTGTCTCCAGCTGGCTGCAAGAAGAGAATTCCAGCCACCAATCTCAACTGGCACAGAAGAATAAATAATACACTTAAAAAATTCCAAAGCTGTTAAATTCTAATCTGTATTTTGGTTATGACAGGAGCCTGATGCAGTTAATATATTTTATTTGTCTTAGTACAAAGAAAAAGAGTCCAGCTATCATACGTGAACCTAGCTCTGAATACTTTGCATGACTTCTATATCAGAAATCTAATTGATCTTTAATGGTTCTATCTGAACTAAAATGATCATTCTTTTGGCCTATTTTGATAGCACCTGTGTCCTGAAAAAAAAAAGCCACATACATTTAATGGTCAAGAAGGAAAATATATATGATGGATCACCATGAACATATCTTATTTTTTCCTCTCTAACTTTTAAAACCTAAGGGAAATAAAAAAGGATTGTCAAGGTATTTTACGTAATTTTTCTCCATAACCTTTTTGGAAGCTGCTTTCTTACGAAAGTGTTTCTTCTTCAGTCCCAGATACACACTAAGGCCCAGATCCTGCAAACATGTAGCAATCTGTGTAATTTTGCTGATGTACGTAAAGTCACACACATATACATATTTGCAGAATCAGAGTCCAATGTTAATTTAAAATGCAGGGCTGCTGGGTACTGATTTACTTTTTTATAAGAGGATTCAAGCATTCGTTCTGAAAACATAAGCACATGTTGGAGCTCATTATTAAGAGATACTGGAAGAAAGATAGGTCAATGATTGGGTCTGTGTCAGCCTTGACTCCTCCATCCCTTTAATTTTATATTAAAAGTTAATGGAGATGCTCCTTACAGATTCCTGATCGTAGAAGCACTTCAGTTTCGCACGCCATCTCTTCTTCCTCTTCAGCAAACCATTTGAACTCAAGGGGAGGCACATGAAACACAGCCATGTATTCATTGCTTTACATTTCTCTGCAGTACCAGGACTTACAAGGACATCCAGACACTCCAGGCAATAGCATCTACACAAATTAAATAATAAGTCAATTCAGTGTTTAAACAGGTCTTTCCACACATTCTATGCTAGCCAGAGGATCAGTTTAACTGGTTTGGTTCTTTTCTGATGTTTAAAATCATATTCAAGATAATTATTTTTTTCCTCAGAAATGTTTCACTGAAGATGCTGGTACATTGTCAGCTATATGATAAAGCACTTTAGCAGTGTAATGTCCATGAATGATCCCCTTCTGTGTTCCTGGCCACACCTTTAAAACAGTCAACGCTGAGGTAGATTCAAAGGAACAATCCCAGTTTTTATGCAAAACTCAGGGTACGGTGAGACTGGAAGCACTGGGAATGTACCGTAGTTTGTTTTCAATCAAATGACCAGCCATCCTAGATATGTCCAGTAAAAACCCACATGCTTTTTATTTTTATACCAAGTCTAAAGAGCAAATCAAGCTCCCATTGAACTCAATGGAAAGACAACCCCCCCCCCTCTCCCCCCCCCTGACTAATATGGGAATTCGTTGGGGCCTGAATGCATTACAAGGAAGCTCCTTTTTATGTGGGGCACAACAACTAGGGAATCAGCTTTAGGAATGAGATAAGGGGTGTTTTTGCAGGGTGGGGAAAAAGGGGACATCCAAGCCAGGACAACCTTGAAGATTAAAGTAATCTCAAAACGGGGCCGCTGTCAGATAGTGAGAAGGGCAAGTATTTGGCTATTTCCCCTGCTAGCTGTGCACAGAGCATTGAGCTGTTCTTCACTCTGCCGAATCATCACTTGTAGAAGTACAACCTCCATCTTCGGGTGGCGATGGACGTGCCAGAGGGTAACCTTAACTTCGGGTGCTGATGAGCTTGGCAAAAATGTTATAGGGTAAAATCTTAGCCCGAGGGAAGTAATGGGAGTTTTGCCACTGATTTCACCGGGTACATCTAGAGTGCAATAAAACCCCTGCGGCAGCAAGTCTCAGAGCTCAGGTCTACAGACTCAGGCTTGAGCTATGGTGCTAAAAACAGCCCCCCCCTTTGCTGAGTCTCACAGCCCAAACTCCAGCCCGAGCAGGAATGTCTAGGTTGCTATTTTTAGTACTGTAGCATGAGCCTGAGTCTGTAGACCTGGGTTCTGAGACTCGCTTTTTTTCCTTTTTCCAGTGTAGAGGTACCCACTGTGGGCAGGATTCACCCGTGTGTATAGCTGGTGATTTGTAAGGTGCCACTGTTGTCCCTCTTCTCCCTCCCTTCCCCAGTTAGCCATTGTAGTGGGGTGGACACCCACACCTGCCCTGAGGCTTTGGAAAAGCGCTGCAGAGGGCTTAGGCAGGACAAGGTAAAACCCTGGCTGATTAGGGGAAGTGGCTGCAGCTGGGCCACACCCTAATCAGGCTTCAGCTGGCCTATATAAGAGGCTGGGAGCCAGGAGCCCAAGAGTCACTCTCTGCCTTCAGAGAGAGACGGGCCTGGCTGCAGGGAGCTAGACAGGGTACCTGTAGTGGAGCAGGGCTGAGGAAAGGCTGAGGAGCTGGGGAGCTCCAGCCTGGAAAGCCCTAGGCTGCGGCCTGGTAATAGGCCAAGGGGTACTGGGGGTTGCAGAGGGCAGCCCAGGGCTAGGCCAAGGCAGCAGGTCCAAACCCAACCTTGTCGATGATGAGTGGCCTATACTGCAGTCTGCCCCAGAGAGTGGGGGCTAGCTGGTGACTGGCAGTGGCCTTCACCTGAGGTGAGGTGGGGTTAGTGGGTGGGGGTTCCCCTGGGAGGGGAGACCTAGCGTGTGTGGGTATTGCCAGGGGGCAGCACCCAGAGCAAGGGGCACTGGGGTCCTGGGAGGGACACTGGGGCCAGAGAAGAAGAAAGGCGGATCACTGGCCTGAGGAGGGCGCTCCAGAGGCTGGTGAGCTAATTCCCTGGACGACCAGCAGGAGGTGCCGCAGGGGTGAGTCCGGACCCTCTACAGCCATGTTCAAACAAGGTGTTTTCTTTCTGGACTGGAATGTAATACATACATGTGCAGACAAATATTATGACCAAGTGTCTTGAATAATCTTGTTTCCTTGACATGTTTGTAGAATTCCATTTCTTTATTCACATTTATAACTGAGAGTTTTAAGTGATGAGTTTTTCTTTAATCCCTATCCTGCTGCTATTCTGTGGATAATTTGTGTTGAATTACTTGGGGAACTACAGGTGATTTAAATGTGTATGAGAGTGCTGGGCATGTCAAAACCTGCACAACCCAAAAATATAAGGTAGAACAATGATAGGAGGTGAGCACAGTGCAGGTCCTGATTTAAATCTGACATCCCAGCACCCCAAGCTTATTGGAACCTTGTAGCTAGCTCCAACCTCAATGAGCTGAACCAGAACCCTGCATGCAAACCTGCCCCTTCAAACTTTGCGGATGTTTGGAACTGGATTTGATCCTTTTAGCTTAGGGCATGTCTATGCTGCAGTCATTGGGTGTAGTCATACTGAGCTAGCTTTAATTTATCTAGCTGAGGCCCCAGAGCAGTGAAGCTGTGACAGCATGCACTTCAGCATGGGCCAGTCCCACAAGTAATTACCCAGGGTTCGAGGCCAGTTTTTACTGCCTATGCTGACACGTGCAGCTGCACCGTTCTGGTACCCAAATTAGCTAGATTAAAGCTAGCTGGAGTATGTCCGCTCGAGCTGCAATCACATGCTGTCATTGCAGTCTAATCGGACCCTCAGGCCTACCCGTAGCCTTTACCTATTACAAGCTGGCTCATCGCACGTTAGCAGAGTCTTCCCTGAGCAGCATATTGTGCAGTAGGCCTGAAGGCCATCGTCATCATACAGGAAAAATGTTTCCAGAAAGTTCTCCTTATAAAACAGCAAACTGTAGTTAGTTGCAAAAATAGATTTAGTTGATAAAATGTAACAATCATCCTGAGCTGTGTTTGCTTTGCACGTGAGCTTCCCTCTTGTGTTATTAATTTTTTTTATGTAGCACCATTAACGTGCATGGCGCTTTGCAAACAGATCATAAGTTTCCTGCCCCAGGAAGCTGAATGTACAATTGAATGTAGACTCAATACTGACAAAGGAGGTGAATAGGAGGTAACATGAAAGCAACCTGATATATTATATAATTTTAGCCATATAATTATAATACCTAAGTCTTACATGGTGCTCCTCATCAGTAGATCTCAAAGGGAGGCAAATAGCATTATCCTCGTTTTACAGATGGGGAAACTGAGGCACAGAAAGGGAAGTCTCTTTCCTAAGGTCACCCAATGGGCAACACAATAATATATCAGTTCTAATTTTTATAAAGTATTATTCTTGGTGAGTGTAAACTCTAATGGGAGCCAAATTAAAGGACACTGAGTTGAGGCATGTGTTGCTGGTTAGTGATACTTTCTTATATATTTAGGCCAGAATGGGACCATTCTGATCCCCTAGGATTTAGAAGCTCACCCAATCATTTCTGCATCAAGCCCATAGCTTCTGTGTGAGCTACAGAATATCTTTTTTAAAAGTTGTGCCATCTAGATTTAAAGCCTTCACATGATGGAGAACCCACCACATCCTTAGGTAAGTTGTTCCAATGGTTAATTACCTTCACTGTTCAAAATGTCCACCGTATTTCTAGTTTGAATTTGTCTATCTTCAGCTTCCAACCATTGGATGGGTGCTGGAACTAGGGGTGTTGGGCTGGGATGTGTGTGGTGGTACTGCCACACCCCCTGGCTTGAAGTGGTTTCCATTATATAAGGGTTTACAGTTTGGTTCAATGTCTCTCAGCACCCCCACTATACAAATTGTTCCAGCACCTCTGAACCATTGGATGTCATTATCCCTTTTTCTGCTAGATTAAAGAGTCATCTACAATCAGAAATCTTTTGCCATGTAGGTACTTACAGACTATGATCAAGTCACCTCTGACCGTCTCTTGGATAAATTAAATAGACGATGTTTCTGAAGTGTCTCATTGACTTCAGGGCAGGGCCGGCTCCAGGCACCAGCCCACCAAGCTTATGCTTGGGGCGGCACCTGGAGGGGGGCGGCGTGGCGCTCCGGCCGCCGGGGAGAGCGGGGCCACGGCCGGGCTCGCCGCCCTCCCCCCGGTGCTCTAGCCGCCCTCCCCCCCCAGCCGGGGCTCGCCGCCCTGCCCCCTGCGCTCTGGCCGCCGGGGGGGAGAGCCGAGCCCCGGCCGGGGCTTGCCGCCCTCCTCCCAGGGCTCCGGCCGCCTCCCCCCCCCTTGCGGGGTGGGGGGGTGGCCGGAGGCTTTTTTGCCTGGGGCGGCAAAAAAGCCAGAGCCGCCCCTGCTTCAGGGGATCCACTTCCAGCTGAGATAATAGGCAGGGGGGCTGCCTTATTGAGCCATATGGACTACTAACCGTACATGGAGTACAAATTCCTCCGTGAAACAAGGGATGCTGGGTATGAATCTGGAAACTGCCACAGCAGATGCAGATTTCTATAAAACACAAAGAATGTCCTCTCTCAAAATCTAGTATTGTTTAATTTCAGCCTCTCTCACTTATTTCTTCTGGACAAGATGCAGAATGCTCTAGACATTGCTCTGAAACCTGAGAGGCTAGACATTCCCAGATTAGTAACTCTTATTATTACATGTTCAGCACACCAGTTAGAAATGAAAAACAGTGACAAATATTCTTTAATGCTTTCTAAAGAAGAGTTTTAAGACTATGGTCCTCATCTGCACAGCAGAAAGGATAGGAAAAAGTTCAATGTTACTAATAAAGCCAAAGGGACATTGTGTTTTTAATACAGACTATTTAAAACACTGTCAATGCAAGGATCCACTTCCACCTGAGAATTTTCACACCGCTCCTGTGGACATTGCCTGTGAGCCATTTCTGTCAAGGTCGCCTGCTAGAGACCTGCCAACACTTCCAAATCACAGGATTTGTTCTTAAGGGCTAGATTTTCAATGAGGCTTTCTGATCTAAAGAAAAACACGTGCATCTCTTTTAGCCAGCAAAGAGTCCTGTGGCACCTTATAGACTAACAGACGTATTGGAGCATGAGCTTTCGTGGGTGAATACCCACTTCGTCGGATGCAGACGAAGCCAGACAATTTCGTTTTGCTTCCGATCTATTCAGCATCATGCCAGCCTCTGTTCTATCTGAGGGCTGGCCTAACACACCCACAAATGATCCTTGAAGGGCCACCACTAGCAGCGACAAGGCAGTGCAGTCTCTGTGCCCGTTCAGCTTTCATTTTCTCTTTCAAAACTGCCAGTTCATGTCAATTTTGCTGATAGTTCTTGTGATGAGTCCATTAGATGCTGGTGTAAGTCCACCAAATCATTTCCTATAGGCCAGCAAACCACCAAATGGTAATGTCTTTCAGGAACTACCAACCTGGGGCAGATTTAAATTAGTGAAACAGACGTGAGGGTGACTGTAATCCCAATCCTTTAGGGCAGCCATTGTATGCCAAATTCTTCTTAATGTATGTTTGTTTGATTACCCGATATTTTTGGATATTGCTTTTAAGTTGGACACTTGATTTTTTTGGTCATATTGGTTAATATGCAGTGTGACATGGAAATTTAGCCACATGGCTAAATGGCCTATTGGTTTTCAGTAATTTAATTTGATTACTCACCTTCAATACTCCTTTGGTTTTCATTTACTTCATGTGCAATAAGATCTGGGGGAAAACAAAATATAATACTAATTGTTTATTTCTTCAAAAACTTGAAGAGCAACAATCCTTAAGAGTTGGCACACCCTGTATTTTCTGCTAGACAAACAAGAGTTCCCTGAGAAATTTATGAGCCAATCCTTCAAGCCCTCCCCATGAAGAACTCCCATTCGAATCCATGTGAGTTCTGCCTACAGCTGGCTTTGAGGATCAGTCCTATAGTTTTGCTCTAGTGTTTCCTTTTTGTAGATCAAATAACTTCACTGACTCGTGCACACAAGTGTAAAATTGTATGCTACTTTAGTAGACACACACTCTGCAGGTCAAGTTGCTGCAATGTTTTAAAGAAAGTCTAGAGTAAACGTGTCAACATACTGTGAATTCCTTCTGAAAACACTGATACCTCTGTTGGGGCTTGAGAGTGTAGCAGGCATTATTTCTTCAAGAGAGTCAAGAGATATCACATCAGAAGAAGTGCTTTCTTCATCTTGCAGCTCTATCGCTTGAGGGGAAAAAAATCAAGCGACCATCAGTTTCTTGGACAGTAACTCCACTTTTAGCAGTACTGAGATTTTCTAAGCAAGAAACACCACTATAGCCAGCAAAAAGGACAGGAGTACTTGTGGCACCTTAGACTAGCAAATTTATTTGAGCATAAGCTTTCGTGGGCTACAGCCCACTTCTTCGGATGCAAGATGTAGCCCACGAAAGCTTATGCTCAAATAAATTTGTTAGTCTTTAAGGTGCCACAAGTACTCCTGGTCTTTTTGCGGATACAGACTAACATGGCTGCTACTCTGAAACCTGTCACTATAGCCAGGTTACATCACTGAACTTTTGCAATTTCTATTTCCATACTTTTGGAAACACCAGTCTAGCCCACCCACATTCACTGGATTCTTCAAACAGCTGAGAAGTCATGTATTTATATAGCTGATCCATGCACAGTTAGCTGAAGTGGGGGAAAGATTATTTATTATTCTAATGTGCAGAGTGGCCCAACCCTCCCTCCTATGGATTGACATGTCTGTTGTAACCCATGGCAGCACGCTCACGTTTCCCAGGGCTGAACTAACTTTAAATCAGACACATTCTCTCCTATGCCCACAGGCTGGTACTGAGCGTCCCTTCCAATTTTCCCAAGAGGGGAGGAAGTTGAAAGTTCATCGTTTCTCTCTCCAGAAGTCATGAGAGCATCAGGCATTCAGGGACTGGGCAGCCCCCCGCTGCTTCCAATCCAACCCCTACCATCGCCTGGACCGTGTCATTGACAACCCTCTGGTTACAAAGGCATTGCAGCCCCAGACTGGCTCCAGTCATTTCCTTTGCTCACTTATTCCAGAGAAGCTGGGCTCCACCTCCTCCACGTCCTCTGCGCTGTCTGTGTCCGACAGGACCAGCACCGGCTCTCCCTGGGCCATGCTGTGTCTATATGGACCATACGCAGGACCGCCCGGCAGCAGTAATCGCACGTGGGTGTGCCGTCCGGGCCGGCGAAGGACAAGCTGGTCTAGCGCTACCAGGCGGTGCGCTGGGCGGGGCTCGCCGCACGGGGCGTGGTGAGTGTGTCTCCTGCAGGGGTCTCTGGTGGACGCTCCAGGGAGAGGTTTTGGGCGCGGGGGGAAGCGTTTTTGAAATTAATCTGCCAAGGAAATTCCAGCCCTGAGAGTTCGTAGAGATTATATGAACTATCCAGCACCTAAGGGGTGTGTGTGTGTGTGTTTTGCAATGCTGGCTGTATCAAGGCCAGCCTCCCCGTTTTAGAGTTAAGTTCATGCCAGAAGAGCAGCAACGGTCTTTAGTTTTCCAACCTGTTGTCAATTTCGTTTACAGACTGAAAACAAAAGAAGCAGCTTTTAAAAGAAATGTCTGTATTATAATTATCCTGTACTGTATCACATGTGCTATGCACAGGCTGCGGTCTATCATATCTTGCTTTATATACACACAGTACTATAGCTGGTGCACAGTACTGTCTGCATGCATATATATAACACAGAAGTATATATCCAACGTTGTGTTTGTATATCTCATGTATGTATCTATCAGTGTTACAAACCTGTTATAAAATTAAATAATTTATTTTCAAAACTCCACAAAACAGGTATTTTCAAAAGTTTTATATATATATAGTTTATAAAATACTGACAACCAAATGAACTTTGCTGTTAGTCTGGTATTATGATTATTCCACATAAATAAATATATTGGGAGATTTTTGCTTTTGGAGGCACAACTTTTTTTTAAAGATAACAGTACAAGGGTCTTAGGTGATGAAAAGAAACCTTGTTGCATTTGTGTACATAACTATACCCTTTTTCTAATTGAATTAAGTTATTGCTAAGTGAGGTTTTTTTTGATGAAAGGTTTTAGTGTAAGTTTTGCCTTAGTAAACCACCAGTAGTGATACTGGATACTGAATGCCCTTTCTTCACAGAACTAGAAAAAAGATAAAGAGAAAAAATTTCAGTAGAAAGGGCAGACACATCCCTGCTATAGGTAAAAACTAAGGATTGTGCATGAGGATAAAACATATCCTGTGACACTAAAGCTGCAAATAGATGCATCTAAAATCCACATCACCAATCCTTACTCAGCAACTCTGATGTCTAAATTAATTGCCAGCTAACTGATTTAACTTATGCTGGGATAGTGAATGTTCTGGTTTTGTTATTGTTAGTTTTTCTTTTCATTAGCTGCTATCATAATAGAAAAACGTGAAGATGCTTAATGATGGGGATGGTGGAAATGGTTTAACATGTTTAATTTATTAATGTAGGAGGATTCTGTATTTTCTTGAGGCAAAAAATTTAAGGATGAATTAGACAGATACGTGGTACAGACAGGGCCAGTGCAAGGAAGTTTCACGCCCTAGGCGAAACTTCCACCTTGCGCCCCCCCACCAAGCCCTGTGGCAGCTCCCTGCCCCCCCCAGGTGCCCCCTCCCACGGCAGCTCCCCCCCGGGGAGCCGTGCAGCAGCTCCCCACCCCAGCTCACCTCTGCACGTCCCCGATCACGCCGCCCTCTCTCTAATTCTCCTCCCAGGCTTGCAGTGCCAAACAGCTGATTGCCGCTGCAAGCCTGGGAGGCGGGAGAAGTGGAGTGGCGACCGCGCACTCGGGGAGGAACGCTGTAAAAAACAAATTGGGGGCACTGCTTTTTGGCACCCCCAAATCTTGGCGCCCTAGGCAACCGCCTAGTTCGCCTTAATAGTAGCACCGGCCCTGGGTACAGACAAGAAGCACAGAACACTCTATTGAAGACATACAAGACCTGGATTTTATTGTTTTTAATTGATCAAAGCTCCCGCTGATGTCAGTGGGAGTCTTGCTTGACGATGGCAGAACTTGGCCCAATCTGTAAGTAAGGTGTCACACTTAAAATAAATGAGATCTTACTTTTATTTTCATTTAAAATATCTCAGCCTCCTCTCCCACTTTTCCATCCAAATTAGGCACTGGAAGAATCAAAACATTAATTTGTGCTGAACTATCAAAATGTATTGTTTTACTGTTAATGTGAATTAATTTATATTCCTGTTGGTTCAGTTGAAATAAAATATCAATAACCTTTAGTTATCAATGGGCTTGAGTTTTGTTGCATTGGTTTACTTTACATAATTTCAATTATAAAACAATAAAGAGAAAAATACCTGCTAGTTTAATGCCCCCAGGAACTAAATAATTTGCAGGAGGAATCTGAAGCAGAAGCAGTATCTTTCCCCACCCACCAAAGCGATGTGACATTCAGATATGGCCCTGACCTAAAAAGTTCAGGTCTGGATCGAAACTTTTTTAAAGTATGGGGATATTTGCGTCTGTGGAGATTTGGTTCAGCTCTTCATAGAGATGGAGAAACCGCAAAGTTCAGCTCCAGATTAAAATTTCCACAGAGATTTGAGATCTAAGGCTTTAGAAGCCCCATCTCTAATTAGAAGGTTTAGCCAATCAAGTATTTTGATTCACTACAAAATTAGGTTGATTTTATAGAAATCGATTTTTAGAAATCAATTTTAGTCGATTGCATATGTCCACACTAAGCTCATTAAGTCGGCGGAGTGCGTCCTCACTACTGTGGCTAGCATCGACTTACAGAGCGATGCACAGTGGGTAGCTATCCCACAGTTCCCACAGTCTCCACCTCCCATTGGAATTCTGGGTTACGCTCCCAATGCCTGATGAGGCAAAAACATTGTTGTGGGTGGTTTTGGGTACATGTCGTCAGTCGCCCCTCCCTCTGTGAAAGCAACGGCAGACAATGGTTTCGCACCTTTTTTCCTGGATTACCCGTGCAGACACCATACCACAGCAAGCATGGAGCCCGCTCAGCTCACCGTCACCACTGCTGTTGTGGGCAAGTCTACTGTGGGAGCTGCTGTGATTCAAGTAGCCAATGCAATCATTGACATTCTGTTATCAAGGATAGTTACTCTGGGAAATGTACAGGCCTTTTTAGATTTTAGGTGCATCATATTTCTGTCCTTTGTCGCTGGTGAAGAAGTCTTGCAGCCATACATTCCAGTCTCTTGGCGCTATAACACCCCATAGCACTTCTGTGGTTGACACATGTAACAGCTCCAGGGCTCTTGCTCTTTTGCCTTGGCCAAGGTACCTTGCCCTACCCGGACCTCCAAGCATTCGACACAGAAGCACCTGCAGCAGCTGGCATTGCTACACAGCAGCAGCTCCTTGCCTTCGCAGCAGACGGTGCAGTAGGACTGCTAACCATCATCCATACTGGTCTCCTGGGTGCTGCTGGCAGCAGACATTGCAGTAGGACTGCTAACCGTCATCATCCACCGCTTCCGCTGAAACTCTGCTCTCCTGCTCCCTAGCGATGAGCTCAGGCTTCAGAGTGACAGTTGTGTGTTTCTCCTTGATGCAAACCCGCCCCCTTTGTTGATTTTAATTCACTGTAAGCCAACCACCCTCCCCCCCTTTGAAATAAAGTAACTATTGTTTTGAAACAATGCATTCTTTCTTTATTAATTAAAAAAAAAAAAAGAGATAACGGACAAGGTAGCCTGGATGGGGTGGGGGAGGAGGGAAGGACTAGGCCACATTGCTTATTGTAGCCACACTAAAAATCAAACTGTTTGAATGATAGCCTTCTGTTGCTTGGGCCATCCTCTGGAGTGGAGTGGCTGGGCGCCCGGAGCCTCCCTACCACATTCTTCGGTGTCTGGGTGAGGAGGCTATGGAACATGGGGAGGAGGGCAGGCGGTTATACAGTGGATGGAGTGGGGGTCTGTGCTTTTGTTGGCTTTCCTGCAGCCCCAACAGACGCTTCATCATGTTAATTTGCTCCCTCATTAGCCTCAGCATCACGTCCTGCCTCCGCTCTTCACGCTCACTTAATTCTTTCCTGGCCTGTGCCACTGAATGCCTCCATGCATTAAGCTGTACCCTATCAGTGTGGGAGGACTGCATGAGCTCGGAAAACATGTCATCGTGAGTGTGGTTTTTTTGCCTTCTAATCTGCAATAACCTCAGGGATGGAGATGATAGGGAGAGCGTAGAAACATTCTACGCTCTATGATTCTGGGGGGACTGCATGGTCACCTGTGCTGAGTTCGCCACGCTGACCAAACAGGAAATGAAATTCAAAAGTTCCCGGGGCTTTTCCTATGTACCTGGCTAGTGCATCGGAGTTCAAAGTGCTGTCCAGAGTGGTCACAATGGAGCACTCTGTGATAGCTCCCGGAGACCAATACCGTCGATTTGCGTCCACCCTACCCCAATTTTGACCCAGCAAAGTCAATTTTAGCGCTACTCCCCTTGCGGGGGAGGAGTACAGAAGTCAATTTTAAGAGCCCTTTAGGTCAACAGAACGGGGTTGGTTGTGTGGACGCATTCATTTTTAAATCAACCTAACATGGCTAAATTCGACCTAACCCCATAGTGCAGACCAGGCCTAATTCTTAAGTTTCAGAGTGGTAGCCGTGTTAGTCTGTATCAGCAAAAACAATGAGGAGTCCTTTTGGCACCTTAGAGATTAACACATTTATCTGGGCATAAACTTTCGTGGGCTAAAACCCACTTCATCAGATGCATGAAGTGAAAAATACAGGAGTAGGTATAAATACATGAAAGGATGGGGGTTGCTTTACCAAGGAAAAATCTCTTTTGAAGTGGTAAGAGAGTGGCCCATTACAGACAATTGACAAGAAGGTGTGAGTAACAGTAAGGAGAAATTAGTATTGGGGAAATTAAGTTTAGGTTTTGTAATGACCCAACCACTCCCAGTCTTTATTCAGGCCTAATCTGATGGTATCCAGTTTGCAAATTAATTCCAGTTCTGCAGCTTCACATTGGGGTCTGTTTTAAAAGTTTTGTTGTTGAAGAATTGCCACTTTTAGGTCTGTTATTGAGTGACCAGAGAGATTGAAGTGTTCTCCTACTGGTTTTCGAATGTTATGATTCCTGATGTCAGATTTGTGTCCCTTTATTCTTTTGCGTAGAGACTGTCTG